CGTCATTAAAGTGGACACACTGCATAAAGAAATACATTGAGAATTCGCATTCTCCATGTGTGAAAATATTAATTCTTTCTTGGTTTCTTCAACAGAAAACAACTACTTTCCTGGCTGTATGCCACGACAAATATTGAATTACTTCTATTGAACACACAGGATAAGAATTCGAAACAAGGAATCTTTTGAAGTAGAGAATTTGCATTCTCATTTTGTTGAATAAACCGAGAAAGAATTAATATTTTCATCACATGGAGAATGTGAATTCTCAATGTATTTCTTTATATAGGGTGTCCCTAGACCAGTGGGACAGTTGAATATCTTCTGCACCAATAGGAATTTTCAAAATATTATAATTTCACATCATATCGCATCATGAGTGCTATCTTCAGGAATGACTATATTTTATACGAGGGGCGCAAGGAAGGCTCACAAAATCGAACATCAATTTTTTCAAATGGAACACCCTGTATTTCATTGCATTTTCATATTCTCCTTGAATAGATGAATTCAACGACCTAGCACACTTGGGGTCTAGCGGGAATGATTTCCGAGATATAGGGTGTGGAAAATCGAGATTTTTCATTTTTGGGAATTTTTTGTGTCAAAACTATTCATTATTGGTCAAAATGGCTTGCATGTCTATGTCTCAACTTTTGATTTACTATTCACTCGTATTTAAATCGAACAAATACAGGGTGGTGTAGAATTCTCAGTTTCAGTCGGAATTCCACACCACCCTGTATTTGTTTCAATTAAATACGAGTAAATAGTGAATCAAAAGTTGAGATATGGACATGTAAGCCGTTTTGACCAATAATGAATAGTTTTGACACAAAAAATTCCCAAAAATGAAAAATCTCGATTTTCCACACCCTATATCTCGGAAATCATTCCCGCTAGAGCCCAAGTGTGCTAGGTCATTGAATTCAGCTCTTCAAGGAGATTATGAAAATCCAATAAAATACAGGGTGTTCCATTTGAAAAAATTTATGTTCGATTTTGTGAGCCTTTCTTGTGCCCCTCGTAGAAAATAAAGTAATTCCTGAAGTTAGCACTCATAATGCGATATGATGTGGAATTATGATATTTCGAAAATTCCTATTGGTTCAGGAGATATTCAACTGTCCCACTGGTCTAGGGACACCCTGTATATATCCATTTTTTTTGTGTTCATGAATATATCTGAGAATATTCCTTTTCAATACTTTCACCCAATCAAGGGGTTCAAACTTGAACGATGGAAACTTGTTATTTTTATAGACCTCAATCGCAGATTCATGATTAGGTTTTCTCAATTCCGAATTTTTTTCCATGTCCTGTATGATGAATATCAATTTATCATACATCCAAAAACAAGTTCCCGATGACAGTGGTGATGTCAACAAATTATAATTCTCTGATTTCAGTTCGTTAGTTTTAGTTATATTATAGGGAGATGAAAATTGTGTATATCATGAAGAATTGCTGAAAGAATAACTGGACTTCAGGTTACTGATGAGGATATGATATCCGAAATGAGTTTTTTTGGAGTTGAGTCATAAAACCTGTTTGTGAGAGATATTATTCCCATATCACTGATATGAATGATTTTTTTTTTCAAGTTCCAAGCTCATCAAGATCAGAGTTCATACAATTATACTTCTCCTACACATATCAATTTTCATTTCAATACTGAACATATTGGTAAGTTATACTTTTATATCATAATAAATCATATCATTTTATTCAATTTGTGAGATAATGTTAATTCTCAATTCCAGAGGATTTTGATTTTTCATGCTCACTTTTGGGATATTCAACAAGTATAATTCAATGTTCGACGTGGCAAATAAATAGTCAGGAAAGTAGTTGTTTTCTGTTGAATATTCAGAATGCTATCATATGCATGTCTTTATATGAAGGAGAATGCAAATTTTCTACTTCAGAAGATTTTGTTTTCAAATTCTTATCGTGTGTGTTCAATAGATGTAATTCAATATTTTCATCTCATGGAGAATATTCCTTTTCAAGAGAAACATTGTTCATGTTGAATATGTTAGTACTGATAATCAGATAGCTGATATATTTACTAAGGCACTATGTGCTGTAGTATTCAAAAAATTCTGTATGAAACTGGGGCTTAAGGTTTGTAGATGCTAATTTCTAATTTTATGGAATCTACCATCCAGGGGGCGTGTTAAAATACAATGGTAGATCCCGGTTAATCCGATGTTTCATGTTGTGTTCTGTGAAGTAAATAAGTTTAGTTCTAAGAGATTGGCAACCCTGGAATGATATATAATTTCAAGTGTCAGGTCATAGAGTCAGAAATCTTCTGTAAAAAATTTAATAAAAACCCTCATGTTGAAATGAAAACTATTTTTCAGTAAAATAATATTATTAGACAAATTGAAATAAATAATATTCACAACTTATTGACTTTCATTAACCAAACAGTATGATCTTGTAGCGTATAGTCTACTCCCCTTTCACCCTCTTCTGGAAATATTTCAAATTCCAACTTAGAATGCAAGAAAGAATTTTTGAAAGATTCTTTCTAGAAACACATGTTAGATAGCTTCCTGAGTAGGATCAGATATTGACTGATTTTGTATCATCCATTTCGCCCCTCATTAACCCTCTTCTAAAAATGATACAAATTCCGATTCCAATTCACTGGAATTTCCAGTCTACATTTTTGGTTTGGGTTGGTTCCGTTTTATTGTATTACTTGTTAAGTAGATTTACCTAATTTCCAAGTGAATGTCCGATTATGGTAGCTACTATTTCATTGTACAAAGACATTGTTTATATTTTACTCAATAGCTATCTCAGTTGATATTGGTCTGGGAGAATTGTATAAATGGGCAAATATGAAGTATTTTGTAAGGGCATTCAGAATTCAGTACTAGAGGAAACATTGGCAAACTATATTTATATATTCGGGAACAGAACAAAAAGATCTTTCACAATAATTGGAACAATACAGGGTGTTCCATTCGAAAAAACTGATTTGGACTCTCCTTTTCTGCTTTTGTGATTCACATTTGTTTATTTAAGGAGTGCCAAAAGATAGTGCAATTGTAACCCTACAACTTTCATTTTTGAAGTTTTATCCACTATGTATAGGTGGAGTAGTGGGTAGGGGTCAAAATGTAAGGAGACACAGTTGTGTCCATAAACAAGTCGTACAGCAGTTATGGCTATTCTGAGTCAGGCTTGTCAATCTTGATTAATCTAGTATGAGTGATATTTCATAACAGTTGTTGAAAATGACCCCCTGATGAAACTTCAATACATGCATCAACCCTATATGCTTAAACACCCTGTATCTTGGAAACAAATCATTTTCAGGCATAGGTATGTTTATATGAACTTTTACTTATTTCACACCAGAAAATAGGACTTGGAAGTTGTGACTTCGAGTGAGTCCTTATTTTCATATTTTTTTATTTTATTCCATCACAGGTTTTTGACACTGTAATGCAAGAATTTTTCACTCACCCAGTATGGTTGAGTTGGCATTAAAAATTATCAGGTGAATAATAATATCAGAGTGTCCTATTCAATGGAGTATAAGTTTATATCATCACTCCAATCTACAGTACATTACAAATATTTATTTTCTAACTAGGAATGACTTCATTCAGGATTTTAGGGATACAGTGCCCATAACTTGTGATTACTAGAGAAGTTACTCTCTGGGATTTAGTTCAGATGCTATAGGACATATGTGATTTTGATATGAGTATCATTTATGTAGCATGCCTCATAGCATGCTAAGTTTTTTTTTAAGTTATTTTTTCCTGCTGGAATATTCAAATAAACAATCAAAATATATTTTACTATGATTTCTCTCATTGAGAAAACACCATGCTTTATCAGCAAAATTGCCCAATTTGTTCATTTCAAGGCAAAAAAAAAGGGATGGTAGGGAGGAAAAAGGTGCTGCAAAATCAGACAACTATCTGATCATGTTCAGAAAGCTTTTTCACATCTGTTTCAAGAAAAATATCATTCAAATAATCATTTCTGAGCTCTGAGTTGGAATTTCAATTATATTGATAAGAGGGTGGAATAGGGGTGGAATGGATACTACAAAACATGTCAACTAGCTGATCATGTTCAGAAAACCATTTGACATCTGTTTCAAGGAAAAAATCTTTCAAAAATTCTTTTGTGAGGTCTAAGTTGGAATTTGAGTTATTTTGACAAGAGGGTGGAAGAGGGGAGGAAATGGATGCTGCAAAACCAGAAAACTATTTGATAATGTTCAGGAAGCTATTCACATCTGTTTTAAGGAAAAAAACTTGAAATTTGAGTTATTTTGACAAGAGGGTGAAAGAGGAGAGAAAATGGATGCTACTAAATCACTAAACTATTTGATTTTGTTTAGTGAAGTGTTTTTCATTCATTATAGGAGATTAAATCATGAAATTCATATTATTTTCACTTACTGTGTTGATTTCATTCATTACTGTGTGTTCACACTGGTGTGAATATTATAAGATCTTTCAAACATGTAAGATTTTTCTAGCTCAACAACCTAGTGGAACTGCTTAAAATAGTGAGTGAATGAAAGACCAGCCCTCCAGGAATACTTCATGCTACTTTTCTTATTGGTACACTTCAGGATCATAAATATGGAAATGACAACTAATAATGTAAAATGGTTGGAGCTTGGGTTGGAGGTTGGATTCAAACATGTTGGAGTGATCTTTAAAAAAAGCCATAGTAGAGTATTTATGAAAAAAATATTTTTCCATTTCCTGCTATGACTAGAAAGTAATGATTGTCAGATTAGAATTTGGTAATATAAAATAATGTGTTGAAACCTCATGAGTGAAAAGTAACAAACCAAAAAGATATTTCAACTGCCACTACAATAATATCACCATCATTTCTAGAAATCCTCACACTAATGCCATTTATGATTAAAAATATCTGCTTGAGTATCTCAAGAAGGCATGTGCTCAAGTGGAGCTGAACATCAAATAGTGAGGGGTAATTACACTTACATCAAGTTCTGTTTCTGTCTCAGGCAACCCCAGTAAGCCTCCTTCAGATTCCTCACCAGATTTTTCAATTTCATCTATGATGGGCCTAATTCCAGTCTGGGGCCTTTCTCTTATTATGTAGTTTCTGGTAGAGGCTCCAAAATGGAAACCAGAATCAATTGGCAGTTGTGTAGGTTTATAAGCTTCCAATCTGAGTGTTCCAATGAATGTTCCATGTGCTAGTAATGAAAAGAAATTAGTTAACTATATATTCAAAAACAAATACCTGGAAGATACTCACTGCTTCCTAAATCTACTAGAAAAGCCCTGTTTAAGTGTTTATGCCATACAAATGCAGAATGAACCCTAGAACAAGATGCATGATCAATACAAAAATCATTCATCTGAGTATTCCTCCCGAATAAGTAACACTTCTTCTCATCAATCATTAACTTCTGGATGAGTTTGTCACCTTTGAGAACGTCCAAATGTAAACCAACGGGGGGTTTTCCAGCCCTACAAGACAAAAGTAGCTTTACCTCCAAATCCAAAGTAAAATCTAAAAAACATCCTACCAGTTGGGCACCTCATAATGATTCGCCATCAAGTAAACGTTGACTTATTATCGTGTTATTTTATATAGTAGGAAAAATTACAATCTATTTGTGTTTTCATCCCTGTTTTCAAACTGTGGTTATTTTTGCTCATTTCAATTTGTTGAAGTTGAATAAATTGTATTCACTAGGACTAGGACCAGTGTGAACTGACTGCCTAAGCTGGCTGCTAAAATTTCCGAACTTACCCGACAGACCATACCAGTGACGGGCGGTGAATTTATTATTTATTCAATAAATGTTATTTTATCAAAATAAGGAAGCTTATTCATGATCTAATTACTCAAATTGTATAGAAATTGGACTCAAACATGCACATGATTTCAGATGAATGAAACATCGATACCTCGTATTATGTTGACTTCACACCGGTTAAAATAATGTTATTATCCAGAAAGATTCACCTCTGCTCATCAGCCTGAAAAAAATTTTTCTCGATCATCTTCATTCCATGTAATCAGATTCAATATTTCGATCAAACCATATTGAAAATTTCAGAGATCGTTATACAGGCTGATTTTAAAATGAGTGCATATATTCAAGACATATATATGAGAGAGTCTAACAAAAATTACTAAAATATTTGATTTTTCCTAAGTCTTCACATTAACGAGAAATTTCATTTTGAAAATTGAACATAAAATGCTTCGAAATTCGAGTACGCCACTGGGGAGCAAGTGAAATCTGCGGAATCCTAGGGAATCCACAATTCGTCATTCACTAAAGTCAAAACAAGACAGTGATGCCAGATTGCTTCAGAGACGAATATCCTGATAAAAATTTGTCACAGAATGAACATGAATTGAAAAAGGTTATGAAAACTAATAGAGGTGAATGTAATATGTACAGGAGCCTTATTTTTTAAAGTTTACTGAGAGAACTGTGGGGTGATTATCTCCATGGATCACGAGAGACGGAGAGAAACATGAGGGGAATGATAGAACGTCCCCCTTCCTTCAATCCGAAAATAAGGCCACAGCGGGTAGATACAAAATTAGCAGACAATAAATAGGTACACAACATACACAAAGTTGAAAATTGATTCACCTAGTAGATTTTCTCATAGCTGCTGGAACAGCAAAACTCCCGAGAGCAAACAAATACTAATATCGAGTCCATTCCAGACTAATATCGTCCTGTGTTCTTGTTGGTTCATATTCGCACTTAAACCATCGAAAACGACTCGACGACGACATATCCTTCCTGGCAATCTCACATTGAAACATACGATCACGACCATAGCACGATTATCACGACACAAGACACAACATCCAATTATTTTATTTTTTATTTTACGTTTACAATTTTTTTTCAAAGTGACCATAGATTTCCTCTTTGCTGTGACCTTTGACAGTACTAACTAGGATTGTTATGTTCGCGTTCAGAAAATAAACAATCCGAAACCGTCAGAAGCATGCACAAGTCCACAGAACCCAAAAAAATCATACAGTTCTGTGAAACTGCGCATGCCTCTGACCGTTTCGGACGCAAGAATACAGATGACCATGAATTACTAATAGGTGATTTCTACACTGATCACTACATAGATCAGTGGATTTCTAAGGATCAATCAGAAACAGCAAAGTCAAAGAATAGTAGGTTAGTCGAAGCTCCACTTCAATGCGCGGGAAAACTGACAAATGACCTTGAATTTTTACTACGATCAGATGTCAGCTGTATGTTTACTGTTTGTCAACTAATTTCTTCTCAGACATTTGGCAAATTTTTCAACAGTGACAAAAGTGGATTTAATCTGCACAAAAGCGATTAATATTTTTATAGACTTGTGTTTTTCTGCTAAGTTTCAGTGGAATCATCATTATTTTTCGTTTCTTGTTATCATTTTACATAACCTCAAAATATTATTGTGGTATAGGTCGCGTGCAAGAACTGTCAGATGACCGACCCTGGAGACAAATAGTTATTTATTATACAAGGGAAAAAAGTAGTAGATTTTAGCTCCAGGTTGTGTTGTCTCCCGACGCGTAGCGGAGGGAGACAAAAAACCGTGAGCTAAAATCTAATATTTTTCCCGTGTATAATACACTATTTTTTTTTGTGACAAAAGGAAGGACGAATCAATATTGAGAAGATATTGCATTATTTCGAAATCTGAAAATTATCGACGTGAAATTTCAAGTTTTTAACAGTAGGGACACCTGCGTTTTATAGGCATCTTTATCATTCTTTTGAAGTAATCAAATATTTGATGTCACTTCTGTCAGTTCAATTCTGTGATTTGATTTTAAAAAATTGCGAATTCAGTAGTTGTTTAGTAATATACGAAACCGCGAAGTCGAATGGAAGATAAAAGGACTTGCAGTTCTTTCTCGGAGACGGTATTATTGACTCATTTTTCGGAACTATAGCACAACAAAAGCCATTAACAGAGTATATATATGTGATATATATCCGGGCAAAAAGTACTCACTTTTTTCCCACGGGAAAAAAGTAATTTATGAAAAGTGACATTTTATAACCTGCCAACAGAGATGAAATGCCAAACTTTTTTCCCGTCACAGAAAAAACATATTTGTTTACAAGTGATTGAAATAGTTTTCCACAATTATTTTGGCATATGAATCGTATTTTTCCGCTATTCGTCAATTCGCTAATGCCCATCACATTGTGCTGTTGTAAAATGCACAAAAACTGCAGCGGAAGATGAAGAAATCCGGATGGTACATTATGATTCAAAAGTAAGTACCTACTATAGTCACTTACATAGTTTTCATTTTTGAAATTTGGTTATTTCTCTGATTTCTCATCGGAATTCCTTCTGCAATAGGATCAGCTAATAGAAATATACCTGAAATTTCTAGAATAATGCAAGAAGATTGGATTCATGCAAGCAATCGGTAGGACTGGTCTGATATGCTGACAATCGTGTGTGTTGTAGACATTTTCAATCTATTAGCAGTACCTATTAGCTTGTATTGCAGAAGTGGCAGAAGGCAGAAGGATTTTTAATAAGGAATGACAACATTTCATAATGATAACTATGTGAGATTACTATTTACCTGAAAAATCATATTCCCTATTCTCTTGCTGCATCTTTTGTGCATTGTACAACAGCACAATGCAAAGGCATGCTTGAATTAATGAGTAACGCAAGAAACACGATTCGTATGCCAAAATATTGTGAAAAACTATTTCAACCTTTTGATTCCTCTGTAACCAAATAAAAAAGTGAGGTTGTGTTTCAATAATTCACAGAAGAATGAGGTTGTGTTTCAATATTTTGCCTCCAGGGTCGGTCTTCGTGCACGCGACCTATAAGTGTAAGTATATTTGATTTTTTCTAGTGTCTAGGGTTGCTGAGGTAGAAATGATATATTTTTGTAGATAAACTTGGCAATGGGGAGACCTGGAGGAGTAAAATGTGCAGTCAAAGACTGCAAGAGTAAGTACTTAGATAATAATCAACATACACCATTGACATTTTTTAGGTTCCCTAATCCTAGGACCCAAGAAGTGAGAATGAATTCATGGCAACTGGCGTGCAATGATGAATTGATCATGGCTACTGATCCTATGAAATTGTATCGAAGCATGAGAATTTGCAGTCTACATTTTGAGGATCATTTGATGGAAAAGCACAAACTGAAAGAAAATGCTGTTCCTACACTGAACTTGGTGGTAAAATGGTCCTGATTTTATTGTATTTTACATACTTACACTTGATCTTATAGGTATCTTTATCAGGCTCCATACATGAGGAGCATTCATATTTCAGTGATGAAAATATAGAAGTAGGTCATTTTATGGAAATAGATAGCTCTGAAGATGGGATGAACACAAGAGCAAGAAGCATTGGTACCCAAACAGAACCAGATATGGTGGGCACAGGAACACAGACACTTGTGCAGAAGTCTGATTCTCAAGTGCAGACAGAAAAGCAACTTTCAGCTATCACACCAAGAAAAATCAAATTAATCAAGAAAATAAATGTGGTATATTGAAAACTATTTCCTACATTTTACTGATTTATTTTGTTATTGATTTGATTAAAATCTTCATTCGAAATGATGTTTATTTTTATTTCATATATGCAAACCTACCTTGAATACTGAAGGAAATAATTTCAAGGAATTTCTTATAAATGATTCATTCTATTTCCTTCAGTAAGACTGAGCAGAATGATTCATCACCTTATGGAAAAATAAGATGAATTGAAGATGTTCATTTAGTGTCTATTTAGTCAACTTTGTCTTTATCTCAAGTCTCAGTCCTAGTCTCAGTCTTTATCTCAAGGAATTTTAGAAGATATCCTGAGATCTGTTCCTAACCTAAAATTACAAGGAGAAATTCCACATTGCACATAGGTAAATGATCATTTATCGTTCACAAAAACAAAATATCCTCATGTCCTGCTTAAGTTTCTGATTCATTGGCAAGTCAAAATAAATTATTATTAATTTCTATTATTCCATTGACACTACAATACACACATGTAAATAAACTATTCTAGGGTAGATTCACAATGTCCAGCTAATTTTGTAGAATCGTGTTGTGATTGGGTGAACATACATTTACGCGCCGGCTGTCAATCTATCCACCAATGAGGATTTGATACGTTGAACGCGGATCGCTTACTTGTAAGTTCCTTCAATACGTATGTCAGTTTCAAAAAATCAATACTTCAACCTGCTTCCAACCAATGAGCGGAGCGTAACCCATCGTGCCACTTCATTCATATGGGTTATTTCAAGGTCATCATATAAGTTTTACTATTTCATTCAAGTGAAAACTCTTTCCCCTCTCTGGCAAAGTAGCGCCAGCGTGGTTGTGATTCATCCTGATTGGACACAGCTGATTTTATTTGTGAGATTAGTGCATATAGTGAGGAAGGATAATTTCATTGAATTAAACTAATAGATGTTTTTTCCAAATTAGTTTTTTATGAAAATGGTAGTTTCATTTAAAGATATGATCCTTCCTCACTAATACATTAATCTCAATCACCTGTGCCGGCTGTGCCCAATCAGGA